GGGGTCCCCCTAAATCATAATTCAGTCAGGGGGTCAGATTCACTTTCCATGTCCCGTGTCTAGCTTTGCCCAACGGCCTCCTTGAGGTACCTCTCCTCGCTCGAAGTTGGCTCATCGAAGTCTCCACCCTTACAGACGAGATACATGGGAGGGCACTCTCTCGGAAGGTGGGGGCCTTCAAGCTGCGGCCCATAGCCATCCCATACCGCGGGTGCCAGGCAGTCAACGGTCATCCTGGGATCTGTCTCAGTCCCTGCAGGATAACAAATCGATGGGTCACACTTTGCAAACCAAATCTCGACCGCATCGCTGCTTGTGTACATGAAGTTCAGGAAGGCTGCGGATGCCAGCAGCGTGCCGACAGTGAGCACGCAACAGCACATGTTGCAACAGCAGTAGCAGCAAGCGCAGCACTGATTGTTTGCCCTGGCGCCACAGAGGCCACACAACACGAAAAAGCCGCCAATTACCAGTGCATTGATGACGGCCGGCACGGCAGACGTCAGAAGCAGTTGAGGTGCCACGTTCAGAAACGTGCTCAATTCAGGGATGGCTTCAACTTGCGCCAAAAATTCGAGCTTCTGCTGCAGACTTTGCCAACTGAGAAAACCGAAGAAGAGTTGAACGATAGCTGAGACCACGAAGCACCCCACAGTCAACACTGATAATGCCACAACGCGGCTTCGAAGCTTTCCGATGTACGCATTGTAGCTGAGTACTTCTTCACCTGGAGCAACCACGTACGGAGTTGTCGGCACCTGCTCTTGAGAGCGCGATGGCAGAGAGATCAGCTCCCTAGCCTCGCCACCCTCGCCGCTTTGCATCATTTCTGCGGCAAGGAAACCGCCCAGCGGCAGCGGCGGCCGCAGGCAGCCGCAAGTAAAAGCTACCTTCTCATTTGAGCCAGGCCTATTTTGTTCTCCGTCTATGCTTTGCAATGTTAGCTCGCCAAAATCGAAGAGCTCCATAGATGCCATAGACAATGTGAGAGGAACCCTTGTGGAATATTAAGTTCCTGTGACAACATTGAATGGCCAGGCCTCTCTTGCAAAATTGAGTTTATCGTTGCAAGTTGAAAGCGCCAGGGAACATGCCATTTGTTCCGCGGTCTCGAGAGCGAGTTACCGGTAGCCCTTAAATGTGTGATGATGCCTTCGATGCCGAGCCCCTTCATTGGATCTACAGCCCTCATTCTGGGTTTAGGAGGGTTCCGACAACGTGCGAAAAAGCTGGGCCCATCAGATGCTAGCTGCTCGAGGTTCGTTTGGTGGATTCGTGCGTCTTCCTTTTGATATCTGCGACTTGGTGGCCAAAAGCAAGGCAACGAGAATCTGGACGAATGCAGCTTTGCCGTACTCGTGCCACGGAGGCTGGAGCAAAAAAGCAGGTCGCCGACGGCCAATCAGTCGACTCAGCCATTGAATAGAGGCTTGGAACCTATGTTCTCGGTGTCTGCCACGCAAAGGAGCTTCTTGCCAACAACTGCTCGACCAGTCAGTAAAGCCGAAACCGAAACTGTAGGCCCGTGTCCAACACGCTTCTTCGCACGCTTCACAACGGCTACTTCGTCTTTTTCAGCTCCAGGGCCAATGTAGCAGTGGAGACTTTCCCGGACTTCAATTCATGGATAGGAGGCATCCGCTTCATGCGCATCAGCTCGCCGACGACCACCGCCACGGGGTCTCTAGACATGGTCGCGACCGCCTTGACTTCGTTTTTCAGGCAGTAATAAGCGACGAAATTCAGCTTCTTCAGATCGCCATCGACCACCAGCTCGTCAAACTCCGTGCAATGACCAACGTACCTCAGGTTTTTACCGAAAAGAGATGTCCAGAAGAAGGGGGTCTGATCGAACTTTTCGGCTTTGCCGAGCATGTTCTTCGCAGCAATCCGTCCCTGGCTGGTCGCAACATCCCAGTGCTCTACCCGCATGGATCCGCCCGGCGTCTCGTAAGTGCAAACGTCTCCGGCAGCGTAGAGGCCCTCTGCGCTGGTCTTCAGGCAATCATCCGTCACCAGCGAGCCGTCCCGCGCACGACGCACGCCGTCCACGAAATCTGCATTAGGAACCACCCCTACCCCGACGACGATGGAGTCACAGGTCAACACCTCTCCGGTTTTCAGCGAGACTTGTAGGGAGGAGCCGTTTTGCTTGATCTCTGCTGCCACCTTGCCGCCCATGAACTTGACTCCCTTTGATTCGAAGAAGTCCTGACGCATCCAGACTCAACCATTCTTGCAAACAAACTTGTCCAGAAGAACGAAAACCTTTGAAGCCCTCGAAGTGTCTCGCACTGCCCCAGCGGTGCCCAAGTGCCTTCAGAACAATGCCCAGGCGGGTCCCCAGTACTCGCTCGAAGGGCACCTAGCACAGTGGATCGTAGGCCTTACACCGACTTCCATGAACAGCAACGTAATCTGCACGGAGCTCACAGTGGCAAGAAGTGCCTGCTCCATCCCAAGCACGGTGACTTCGCAGCCACGCCGCCGCAAGGTAGCGGCCAGTTCCATTCCTGCTTACCGACTACTGACTGTTGACACTCTAGCAGTGCGGCGACATACATGACAGGGTCATTCAAAACCCATAGCAATGTATCTTGCGAAGTGAATCTCGCAACATGCCCAGAGGCAGCGACCTCTACTGATCTTGGGGGCACTCGTGCAGCATGAGCTCTACGAAGGATCTAACGGCTAGGAAAAGCCAGTCCGCAACTGACTGTTGCAGACAGGAAGGCTGGCATTCAATTTTTCGACAAGACTCCGATGAAGGATGACCCGATCACCACCTTGCAAGCCACACGCTGCTAGTCACTGCTACTGGTAGCAGCTTACATTTAACAGCCAAGCCAGCCAAGCAACAGTCTTCTTGTCGGAGGAGCAGGCGGCAGCAATGCGCTGGGCATCTTCCGGAGTTCGTAGCCCCAGAACTCCTGGCAAAGCGCCACCCTTGATGGGAAGCTCTCGAGGCCTGGCACCTGTCGCCACCACCGCGGCGTCGTACTCTACAGTCTGCCCGCTTGAAAGCCGGAGCGTCTTCGTTGCAGCATCTAGTTTCTCCACCTTGGCGGAGCGTCTGATCTCAATCTCATGCTTGTCGAAATACTCTTGATCCCGAAGGCTCAAAGAGCCGGGGTCGGAGGCTTTGCCCAGGTTCTTGGAAAGCACGGGCCTGTCGTAGGGCAGGTGTCTTTCTTCGGTTATCAAGACGATGCGCCCTGTGTATCCTTCTTGTCGCAAGGCATCCGCTGCAGCTACCCCGGCGGCTCCACCACCCACAACCAGGAACACCCGAGTGTCTTGGCTGTCCCGCTGCGCCATGACCGGCGCAACAAAATCATCCATATTCCGTGGCAGGTCCACGATAACGTCGTCTGACTCTACCGCGACGGTGTACGTAGGTATGGCCTGTAAGCCAGCACCGCGCACAGGCTGCCCGGTCCGAATATCGAAGGCTGCATTGTGCCATGGGCAAACCACATGCATCTTGTCTCGTGCTGCAACTCCTTCAGCTAGCGGTGCACTGTAGTGGCTGCATGATGCACCAGTTGCCTCAGTTGCCATATGAAACAAAGGATTCACCCTGACGAACTTGCACTTCAAGTGCCACTCGAGGCCAAACTCTATTCCTTGGACCACAAGGCCCACTCCCCGACGAAACACAGAATGCACCACAACGCAGGTCCTTATGCTGGCACACCTAGACTGAGCCGAAGCATTCTACCCTTGAAACAGCTTGAAAATCTGATCCGCATCCACCAAAGGACGTAGAACTTGCCGTCCACCTTGGTCAAGAGGATGGCGCCTTCACCAGCCCCGTCGCTTGTAGGAGCGATTCGGATTTGTCGAAGCTCTCCCTCTGGAAAATCGGCTGCACGAGCAACTTTGACTCTGCGCACAGTTGGAGGTCTGCCAGCCTCTTCGGAAGAACAACTGACTGAGGATTTCTGCCAATAGCACGCTGCAGCGAGACTTCCTGTAAGAGCACTCAGTGCAGGAAGCACACTGCGCTTCCTCGCTGTGCATACGGGGACGCAAGCCTTAGATAGACCCGACTCTCAGGACAGCACCTCAGTGGTTTGCCCTTTCCCCCCCCACCGCCGACTCGCGCGTTGGTTCCTACTAGTAGTGCATCCACGGAGCGAGTAAGTGAATCTGCCCAGACCGGCTTGTGACATGCAGGCATCGACGGAGGTGCAGCATGGTGACCAAATCAATCAACTTTCAGCCAACCTGTTGATTGAACAGCTTACGATGTCGTGTAGAGCCGGTTGTGTACAGCTTGCTGCGCGATCCGATCAGCCTGTATTCTCAGCCACAGCGCTTGTACACATCAAGCCAAAGCTGAGAACCGTTCAGGCCGGTTGCAGCCGTTTCGGTGCGCATGCGCATGCCTGGTCCGGAGCGGAGCTGCTGAAGGTAGGCCCAATGCCATCTGCGGCTATGACTAGAGCCTGTATCTTCTTTCAACCGCTTCTGCCGCAGCCTTTGTCGTAGCCGGAGTGAAACGACGCTTCAGGAACTCTGCCTGTAGCGTGTGTCGCGCAGTCGGTGAGGAGGCAGGAAAATAGTTCTGGCAGGGCAACCGAATATCGGAAGCCTCGGGGCCACAAAAGTCAAGAAATCCTGGGAGCTTGCATCAAGGGCCATGCGCCTGGATGAAACGGAACTAAGACATAGTGAAACGACACATTCCAAAGCCTCTAGCTTGGTGGACATTAAAGACTTCGAATCCCTAGCTCGCAGGGATTTGCAGGGCCGAGTGATCCGAGCATTCGCAACACTGCGAAGCTCTCAGAGTGCTCAAGCATGCTTCCTCTGATCCTCGGCGGTCCACCAAGATGGCAGCCTCAGGCCATGAGCAACAATCTCTGCAAAGCTTCATTCACACAAGCTCTCACTCCTCAAAGCTCGTGTTATCGTGCTTATCATGGTTCATGGTTAATTTGCACACTTACATCTCTCGGTCACAATCAACGTAGCACAGCCATCCAAACAGGGGTTCGGTCTTGGCATTGTGTTGGGTGCTCCAGCGCTGATCTGGCGCCTAGATCGCCTGTCGCTACGAGCACCACAAATGTTCAACATGCAGCACTGTAAACACCGGCATTGTCGGCGATACAGTCTGCGCGTTTACAAGGCTACGGCTAAGGGAAGTGCTGGTCCAGTCCTAAGGACAGGGCGTGCCGCCATAGATGCCTCTGCGTGGCGATTGATCGCTGCACACCACACAGCACGTCGCTGCAGCCGCCTGTCGCCGCCCGCTCCCTCAGCGACGGCTCGCCCAAGATCAGGCTCAGCCTAAGCCAAGACCACGGATGTCACGGGAACGCCCTGTGCCTGGGAGCGACTCCTTCGGCATCTCCGCAACCGAGGCGAGGGCTTCTGGATCAACTCGTTCTGAAATTCCTGTCTGTTCCTGTCACAGAAATACACTCAGCTGCCAAACTTCAAGCAAGTTTACTGCCTGTGGAACGTGGGATCCGCGCTGGCCACGAACATTCTGACGCAATTTGCCTGCAAGCCCAGAGGAGATGTTCATGCTCAGAAGAATGGTCCGTCTTCGCAAAATTCTGTACCGTGCAGGACCTGCATGAAGTACTTTGGATGTGCCAGCACTCGCGCCTGCAGCAGCCAATTTCCAGATTGGCTGACTTCGCATGAGTCGCACCAAGACCTTCAACACTGCGCAGCCTGCCCAATTTGGGTTGAACTGTTGCTGTCCAGCCATTTTGAAATTGGCATTCGCCTGCAAGGGAGACCGCGAGAACGTGCCTCTGCCATGTGCAAGAAACGTGTGACACTGAGGCTGCAGACTCGTCATCCACCGGTCCATAGGGTTTGGCAGCCTGGGGGCGAGACAAAGACAGAAAGAAAGGCTTGGCTCGACAAAGTTCAACATCAAGCTGCGTAGACAAGCTTGTCCACAAGGTGACCTTATACTGCAGTCACTCGGCACTGACATGTTTCATCTCCCCGCCTAGCAGACGTCCGGTCAAAACTCGAAACTGCTGCCAAAGCACGCTTGATGAAGAGCTGCATTAGGTGACCAGGCTTTCCGCTATGACAAGCCTCCGAGGGAAGGATGGCCAGGGCAGTGCACGGCAAGTGCTGCGGCGGGCTGGCCGCCGGCCTTTCCGCCGAACTGCGAAACGTCCAATCCATGCTTCTCCGACCTGGCCCGTCCCCCGGAAAAAAGCGTCCCGGAATCGCAAACAGGCACCGCAGCGTCAAGCAAGGTCAACAGGGAGGCAGGACATGGCAATGATCTCGTCGGCGAGCTTCCGAACCTACGGTGGCTCGGCTCCGCTGCCCTCTTGCCGTTTGAGCCGACAGAGCCCCCGGCCTTCGCTTTGGGCACGTAGCAGCTCTCCAAGAGATTTTCCAGCACCTGGGAATCCGCACGCTTCCACGTCTTCCTGTTCTGTGACACTGTGCCTTGCTACCAAGACACACCTCTAAACGATAGGTCCTTGCAGCTGTAGCCTGGCGGAGGCTGCGATTGAAGGGACAGCACATGCAAAGCGGGCCAGGCACCTGCGATGAAGACCATGGCAACCTTTGCTTTCTGTCTGAAACCTACAAAGACCACCGCTTGCCCACAGCATCTGGGAGCCAGACGCAAGCCTCAGGCCCCGTCGATGCCAACGAGCACATCACGGACCTTGCCAGAAACGAGCTCAACTGCTTCGAGTAAGTCTTGTAGGCTCCCTGCAACCCAACTCTGCGAAAATCTGGATGATGATCACGCCTGACCACAGACATGCTCCATCGGCGAGTAATCAGCAGTGCAGTCTCTGTGAATGGTGGGGAAACGGCTTATTGGTCGCGAACTCTTCGTTGAACCTGGGTTTCAACTCAAAGCGCGTGGCTTGGCTCGGAGCGAAGGCCACCCAGCCTCTTCTTCAGGATTGTAGCATCCGGTGTCTCCTTAAATTCATGCCTTGCAGATCAGACCCTTCATTCAGCAATCGCAATCGCAACACGGCACCACCAGAAGATGAGACCGAGGGTGTCACACTAGTATGCGCGGAAGCGTTGCATACCTTCACGGTCACATCGTGCTGTCGTACATGTTCAGCGCTTCCGGTAGAGAAGTAGGGCCACTAGAGTCACACAATATTGCCCCGTAGGCGTGAAACAACGCTGCTAGGTGCTGCTAGAAGAGACTTTGTGCGCAATGATCTGCAGCTGAGGCTGCAACTGCGACCGGAAGCGGAAGAGAACGCTCCCAACCGCGGCATGCACTTCGTATATCAGTGCAGCAAATGAGTACCTCGCGAAGATTTCAAATCTCGCCTGACATGCCTGAGCGAAGTAGCAGCAGAGCTGGGCGCACGAATGGTAGAATACTGCCCATTCGCCGCATAACCTGGCCTCGTTGGCTTCGAACTGGGCGAAGCATTTCTGGCGCGAGCCGATGCTACTCTCTCGATATTTGCACTACTGGCAAGAAGACACCCAAAACATAAATTAAAGAGCGAATCGAAAACTGTCCTTGGCGTGATCATTCCCCTCCAAGACCTTGTACGGGTGCATGGAGGCGCCGCCACCTTCTTGCTTCGCTCTCAAAGTTTGTTGCCTGCCCTCCCCCATATCAGGTCAACAGTTCCATGAGGGCCAGGCGCTTGCTTTGAGGTCCGTACCTGGCCAAGTTCCGTGGTGCACCAAGGTGCTGTGTAAGATCGCCACTCGTACTCTATGGCAAACACTGCATCTGAGTTCTAAGCGACCGCTGTAAAGAGACTTCTGGAGATGCTGCTGCCTCTGCAAGCACTCCGAGCAGACTCGCTCACCAGCAAGATCCTGCACTGCAGATCACTGCAGGACCGCTTCAGCCGCAGACGCTCGATCCAGAAGGATCTGCCGAACCACCGACGTCTTCCTGCACAACAGTTGGCAGTGAAAATCACTGTGGATTTGTCCACCAGCCGATGCCTCCGCAACCGGTTCGTCTTCTTCCTTGTCCAGTATTCGGAGCTTCCGCCTGAGTTGCACCAAGCTTTCCAGACAAGCGACACACAAAGTGAGAGATCAATCAAGTGGCTTCTTGCCCGTGCTCACGTTTGCCTGAATGCCACCCTCATCGGGACCTTTCTGTGTCGAGACAAAGCACTGCCCAAGAAGTCATGTTGATGGGCTGATCTGAGATATCGGCGTGAAAAGTCAATGTAGTAGTTTTGGCCACGGGCGTGAATCCTGAGTCCCCACTGGAAAGCACAGGTCAGGCCCAGTGCATCGAAGCATCGGAACCCTTGCAGCTGAGGGAGAATCTGAAATGCCGTCTCCCCCTTCGCCAAGTGTTGACAGATTGCTCGCGTCCTCGGTGTCGGGATGTCTCTCTCTTGCTCTTAAAGAGCTCAGGCTGAGGTCCGCTCTCTTCCGTCGAGCAATCGCGCCATCCACCTTCCAGCTCTATTTGGACAACGACCTGCAGAGCTTCATAAGCTTCGTGACAGCTCCAAGTTACAAGAGCTCTTGCTGCTTGCCGCCTTTTACACTGGCGTCTATGGCAGCAGCTGAGGCCCCGGCATCGAGAGGTGCATCTGCCAAGTAGCCTGCATTCCTCCAGGACAATGCTGCTACAAAAAGCACTTCCCTGCTTGAAAAACTAACTAAGCAAGCTGGCACGTTGCAATGGCTTGTAAGCTATGCTTCACACCGTCTTGCGAAAATGCCAAAGTTCAACAGAAAGGACAGGTGTAGCGTGCCTCTCAGACGTAGCCAATGCTCGGGCAGGTGTCACCTTGATCCGAGCAAGAATGTACCCTAGATATTGTCCGACATGGGCTGGGGAATGAGCCGGAGATTTGTCACCAGTAATCCAGTCCAAGTCGTCGTCCATGACACCCTCGTGTTACTGGTGAACAGTGCAAGCAGATAAGGCCCGATGCGGCTAGCGCCAGCAGCAGCGTGCACCGCAGCCTCTGTTGGCTTCGGGACTGCCCTGCCGACATCATGCACCTTGCCGGCAGCCTGCCAAAGGATTTCCAAGCTTCGGGACCTTGTCCCACTTTGCACACCCCTCCTCCGGCACCGATGTTCGCGATTCGAAGCAGCCCATGACCTGCGAAGTCATCATAGATCGATCGGTCTCTGGGCCCTGGGTGGCTTCGCAACTTTCGCCTCCTGGCACCAAGACTGCTGTAACTTCCTACATTGGGCCTGACTGTCACTGCATCTACGTAGCAGACATGTGGCGCTGACCCTTGTCTGGCAGTCTGGCGTGGTTCAGTTCTTTCTGCATCAATGAGACATGCTTCTCGTGATCTTGGGATCTGCATCGCTCACATGCACTGAGCCAGTATTCTGCAAAATGGCATCACCAACTACGGCACGCTGTAGACGAGACCAGCAACTGCAGTGGTGTACCACGACAACACTGCTCTCTATGGGGCGCTTTTGCACCGTGTGCCGAAAATTCACAGGCGACTCTCTTCCATACGAGATCATATTTCAGAGAGCCTCTACTGCGGTGGGCTGTGGGGGGGGACGGGGACTTGGGGCAGCTGGGCCTCCAGGACAGGCTCTGATAAGAGAGATATCAGAGCCTCGGAAGGCGAAAAGGAGAAGCCACCAGGGACATTTAAAGCGTAATTTTGCCGCATACTACGGCACAGGACTGGCAGAGCAAAGTTTTGCCAAAGCTCCTCAGAGTAGACCGTTGTGGCCTTAGTCAGAAGATGTGATATGCTGCGAAATGGTTGGTCGAATCAAGACGACATGAAACCTACCAACATGCCTGCTTCTCGAAACTCAGGAATCCCACCCTGAGCCGCGTCTAGCGCATTGCCTCCTGGGAAACTGCCCAGGCAATGGACCACGCTTGAACCAGGGTGTGTACTGATATCGATCTCCCACTCCCACTTCTGCTTTCAGTCAGTATCAGTAGCTTTACATGCCGCCTCGTATTCCCCGAAAAACGCGTAACAGCTTTGCCTTCCTACGATGCTGCACAACGCAGTGCATATCATCAGGTGCCCTGCGCAACAAAGCATCGACGGTCGCGTCCTCCCAGGGCTGGGAGATTACATGTCCACTTCACTCTCTGGGGCAGCTCACACCGACTCCAGCGTCCTTGCCGCGGAAATCACGGTAGACCTGCATTCAGGTTAAGATTTCTCTGTTGCATCGAGATCAAAACCCGGAGAGATAACACAAATGGCACAGACTCTGATTGCCAATTCTTCTCTTTGTGCGCGTCATCCCGGTCTGCAGCTCCGAGCGCCGGAGCCGTTCGTCAGAGCGAGACCGTCGCATCTTTGTCTGCTTGGTTGCAGTGTACAGACGAAAGGCAAAGCTCTTCACAGAAGTTCGATGATGCACATGAATTGCATAGCATTCCGGTATCTTTGTACCACATCTTCGCCACAAACTATTGACGAGTAGAAGCGGCGAGGGCAGCTAGGTGCCAAGCTTTCAATGCCTCAAGCTGTGCCGCAATGGCTCATTGCCTTCTGGATCATTCCGAAAGCTTCCTGGCTAAACATTCGTCAACTGAGTTCTGAGCAACAGCATGCAAGAGCTACAGATACACATCGCTGTTCTTCATGGTCCATTGTGTCCTTGCGCGTCTTCCTCTCCATCTCCAACTCCTGTCGCAGCTTCGCATGGTCCTGAGCGCATCCGAGCCTCCAGCTGCTAGCATTGCTAGCACTGCTAGCACTCGCTGTTTAGTGGCTTCGACGGCTCCTGAAGCCGGGAGCGCACTTCACGCTGGATGGATTCTCGGCAGTCCTGGCTGAGAGACGCACGGATGCCAGCAGGTTCCTCTACGTTGCAGCGGACCTCGCGGAGCTGCTGCAGGGCCTCCTCACGGCGCCGAGTCTCCACCGCGACCGCATCGGCCATCCTCCGGCAGTGTACGTCTGCCAGGCATACGAACTCACCCCAAGAGCAGGGAAGGCAGGGAAGGAAGGCTCCCTCGCTCTCACCCACCCACACCTGGCATGGGAATGTCCCCTCGCAAACAGACTGCAGAGCAGCGGTTCCGTCAAGGCCCCACAAAACGGGTCTGCATGTGAAGAAAACCTATCAACAGCCTCTCAGCACGCTAGCTAGAAGTATGTTGCAGATCAAAGCTTCGCTCCAGGTTGGGAACTCGGCCATTGGCTCAGCATCCGCTCACAGACTGCCCCTCAACGCCATGCAGGTAACAAAGCTCTCGTTCACATAGTTTTGCTCTCACGCCTTTCTTCTCAGCACTACTTGGTTTCATTTCTGTGCCTCCTGCTCTGGTACTCAGATGTTCCACTTCTCCGGATTTTCGGCCACTGGTGTGGTGCTCTTCGTCTGCCCCTCTCCTTTGTTTCATCTGCTGGGTTTAAGTAACCTCTGGCCTTCTCGACTGATCCTCCAAAAGCTGGTTGAGCTCCGGCTCCTGCGCGGAAGCTTCGTGCCAGGATCGGCAATAGCATGTCTACTCAAAACATGCTGTCGCACGCGCATACCCTGCACAGGCAGGAGCCAGGCAGGAAGGTCTGCAAGTATGCACGCGTACGAAATGCAATGTTTGCTTGTTGATACTAGCAACATGGTAACATTACGATTACTACCGGCACCGTACCCATATGATATGAGGGCGTCCCCTCTCTCGGGACCTGAACCTCCTCCGGAGCCACGCTTGGAGGCTCGACAGCGTCGGGAACGCAAGCCTGCCGTCTCGTACTAAATCAGAACAGGATCGGCAAGCTGCCTCCGGGACTCCGCACTCGCAGCATCTCTTCAACTGCATGTAGGGACCCGAGGCCGTTTGTATCTGCCGAGTAGCCTCTTTGGTCACCGCAGCTGCTTGCATGTGATCCTGCTCAGAAGGTCCAAGGTAGGAAGCAAGCCCCTAAAGTGCCTAGAGACGATGGGATCTGCGGTGCTGTCCTCAATTCGCCGCAGTGCCTCGCTTCGACACTGCGCCTCGCCTCGCAGCGCTGCCTTCCGCCAGACTGTGCGTTTGCCCTGCTGAGATACTACACTGATACTACGAGCATGTCTCACCGCAAGAGGAGCGATCCCGTCCTCAAAGCCTGCCAAACGTTGATCGACGAAGGCTTCGCCCTCCGTCCTCAAAAGTCGAGGCTGCACGTGAAAGAGTCCGTTCGCGTGGATTCGGCAAACAGCATGCACTCAAGCAGCAGCGGCTGCAGGCCAAGCAAAGCAATCATAAGATAGGCAGATATGTGAGCACACTGCAAGGGCTCTGTTCCTGGAGGCGGCTTCCTGTGCCAGGCCATGCCGCAAGTCGCTGCTGGCCGCCTGACGCAAGAAGAAAAGGCTGATAGGCTCGGCGTCCGGGTGAACGCGACACTAGTCACTCAAGTGGACCTTGACAGGACTGCCTTCACCTGGCCCATCCTAGCCCCGATAAATGGAGCGGATCAGAGACTCGTTGTTCTCAGGACTCTTCGCAGCCTCCAAACGGCGGGACATATCACCTGTGGCGACTATCATGAACTTGGCGTCTGATTGCTTTGATTGCTTGCTATCTAAACTGCTTGCATCGTAGACCTGGCAGGCCGCAAGTATGATGCCTCGGCACTAAACGTAGTCTCGATCCAGGAACACGAATAGCTCAACCGTGTCTTTCTTTTATTCCTTGTCCGGCTTCCTGTGGCCACTTTATGAAGCTGAATGCCTCTCCAGCACTTCAGGAATCGTGGATTTGTTTCCAAGCGGTCTTCTTTTCGGTCTTGCCTGTGTTTGTTCCCGTCAACTGTGTCTGGGGTTTATGCTTACTGTCGCCCACGCAACACACCTAAATCCCAAACCCCAAACAGTAGACCACAATTCCCAAACCCCAAACAATTATTCTTTCACATCTTCCACACTCAATCCCAAAACCCTAAACCGCCAACCCTACACCTGGAACCCCAGATCCCAGCTCCTAAGCCCTAAACCCCAAACCCGACAACCGCGAACCCGCAACCCTACACTGCAAAATGGACCCCAACCCCAAACCCTCGCCCCGAAATTCGAAAGCCTAAACTCCGAACCGGAAGTCAAGTTCTCATGATTAAACACCAGATCCGAAAAATCCTAATCCCTGAAGCGGAAATCCAAAACTCCTAAACCGGAAACTCCAAACCCCATCCTACTGTATGCACTCCCTGAACCAAACGCCAAAAACCCAAATCCTAAACTCGAGACCCCAAAGCCAGCGAAAGTCGGCCTGCCCGGAAACCCCGAATTTCTCCCCAGGCTCGCCCAGAAATTGTCATATTCCACCGCCGATGACTTCGTGCTTCGGAATCGGGTGTCGAATCATTGCTTTGAGATTGGATGTTAGTGCAGCCCATTCCGCTCAGCCCGAGAAGTAAAGCCCAAACCCAGACCCTAAAACTTCAAACCCCCTTAACCCGAAACAAAACCAAACCGAAAGCCAAAACCCTAAACCGGAATCCGCAAGAACCCCAAACCTTAGATCTCAAACCTTTCACCCTGCCTCAAGCCCGAAAACCCAAAGCCAAACCCCCGGAGCCATAAAGCCCTAACCCAACACCGTGAACCCCAAACCAAGAACAGTAGACCCCACACATCCCCAAGCCCCAACCCCTAGCCTCTCTCGACGCCTGAAACCCTAAAATCCATAAACCGGAGCCCAAACCCAAACCTCTAAGGCCTAAACCCGAGACCCCAAGCCCTATACCCTGGACCTTGGACGGGCGGAAACCACTTCGCTAAGAAACCGCACGCTTAAGTCAAATTACCCCGGAGACCCTAGACTCTAAAGCCCAAACTTCCAAGCATAAGCCCGAAACAGTAGGTCAGTAGGGAAAAGACACGGTTACTGCGCAAAAAGATGCGGCTGACACTGAAAAGACTGACATGTTGACATGCTGCTCGCACTGAATTCTAGAGATGTTAGCAGAGGCTGCTCTACTGTCAAGGAGACAGAGACGAAAGACGAGAGTGGCAGCCGGGTGTGCGGTGCATTTGGGTTCAGCCGTCATGCTTATGACGAGTCACCAAACTTCAGCTCCAAGTCGGCTGCGGACTCTTCTGCGAGGTGTCGCCTCAACAGACAGAAAAGCCCCAGATGGACGTTCGGCGGAAAGGCAACACCACCCATGCGCGAACTTTTCCGGGAGCCCCACAGCTCCTCACAGGCCTGCTTCAGCGCCGTGAAGGCCGAGACATCTGGGCAGTCCTGAAGAAAACAGACAGAAGAGCACGGCCTGGCATTTGGCACTTCAAGAGGGCACCTGCTGTAGCTGCCCTCGCTGCCTTAGTTGTCGGAGAAATGTCAACGAGATGTGAGACCATGAAGCCTTGCCAGGCCACAGTGTTGCCATGGCGGCATGAAGCTCCTCTCCAAAGTCGCGGAGAGACTCCGTGCGCTCGTCACGCTTCAGCAACCTAGCGCTGGTGCACAACTAGATGCACGGCATTCACTGCGAAACGCAAGAACCACGCTGTACTGCCTCATCTGGAGAATCATCATCCCATGAATCCCATGCTACGGGTCTTCATGACTCATTCAAGGGGCTCTGAACGCAGGTGCTGAGTTTCGGCGGTTCTCTCCTGAACCTCGGCTTGAAAGGCTCACTGCACCGTAAGCATTGTAGGTGCCACAAACTGCCACTACCGGACTGGCCTCTTTCACCATGGAATCACAGAGGTCGTCGATGCGGGCTGAAAGCTTTGAATATGCTGGTGGTGTCCGCGCCTCCCGAACGTCACGACACGCTGGCTACATAGTTATGCTGCCCAAGCACAACAGCAGTTGGTTTGGAGTTACAGGTTGAGTCGTGGAAAGCACCGTTAATTCTCGTAGGCCCACTTCAAACTTGCTTTTTTTGGCAGGCTGTGGGGCCACATGCAGAACAAGCCACAGACCTGTCAATCCAGACAGCGACAGCGAAAAATGGCCTGCCTCCGTCTTCATCGCCGACACCTGCCGCAGACCACGCACTGGGCTGCGTCTTCCCCTCCGGAAGAAGAATGGAAAAGCAATCGCCTGCCTTCTCTTCCAGCTCCTTGTGGCCGTCGGTGGCTTTACGACATTCCTCGTTTGTCCACTGCCACAGGTCCTTCGGAAGGATAGCTCGTCATCAGCTCAGAGAACACGGCTTCAGCAGAGCATTCGCAAACCGCAATCACCTCAATTTAGCCACAAGGCTGACAGGCCCAGCCACAAAAAAATAACTCAAAGCCGGCAACCATTCACGCACTGAGCACAAACACAGGGGTCATCAACTCTGCACACGTGACTGCTGGGCTGCTACTCGGCTTGAAGTTTAGGACTCGGGTCCCTGCGCCGATTACGACACGGGCAGTGAAGGGGCTCCGCTATGCAGTTTGAGAGCAAGGGGTGCAGATGGATACTGCAGGAAGCCAGAAGCTCGCCAACGCGCGATATCGAGCATATGATCTTATCCGGATGGCGCTTCACATGTTCGTCAACGCTGGCTTGCTGCAGGGTCCACACAGACCGGCGCACTTTGAAGAGTCACATGACTGTCCTGGAAATCCTGCACAACGCGCGACTCGAGCGAGTGCAGGGCATCTTCGAAGTGGCCGCAGAGCTTCGTCTCCAGGGTCTCCAGCCACTTCTTCACTTGGGCACCCAGCCCGCCGCTCTCCTTGGTACGTCGGATTCTACGTCTGAAAAGTGGCGATGGGTCCATTGAGCGGCCACGAGTTGCATGCAAGTTGCATGCTTGATTTCGCCTCGAACTGCCTGTTCGAACTCTTGTCGAAAGGCCTGCTCTTCGATCAGAGCATCCGTCAAGCCTGCAGATGCTCATCCATCATGTTCTGAGCCACTCGTCAGCTTTTCATGAATGCCGCTAGGCACTGCACGGTCTATGAATCTGACAAATTGCCTGCAATGGAAGCCTGTGCCGTTACTAGCTCCTCCGCCACCGTTGCGAGTCTTTCCTCCAGGCACATCCAGACCCCTCCAACATCACTGGCATCTCCGCAGTAAGGCAAACACGAGAAAGTCTTGCAACACAGTAGGCCTATGTAGGCCTGCTGCACAGCATCGGACAGGAGAGCGAGAGTGAGAGTAAGCGTGGAGAGTGGGGAGTGAGAGTGAGAGTAGGGATGAGAGGGAGCTTGGAGAGTGGAGGGTGAGAGCACGGTGAGAGTGCAGACTGGGAGAGCTTGGACAGTGATGATCAAAATCAACATCACGCACTGCAAACTCTTGCACTGCACACTCCTACACTGATCACGGCTCTTAATTGTGCCCAGACTCGGATATGTAGCTGACCTCACAAACACCATCAGGCTGGCAGCTCTGTCCGCTCGAAACCCCTTCGCTGAACTCACCCACGCTGAATGGCAGAGCAAGGCCTGCATGTGCTGCAGCTGATCCTCGGCAAGTCCGGCGTCAAGTGCTACCACTGAGCTGGGGACACGAGTGCTGCCATGCGTCGATTCTTTGCTCGAGGTCGTGCAGCCCACCGTCAGGCAGCTCCAAGTAAACCTCAGGTTGGCTGGAAACTGACTGCGCTTCTCTGGCAACCCCTCCAAAGTGAGAAAGCCTCGAAACTCCAATTTTGCTGCACCGGAGCTGACTCGAGGTTCCGCAAGGCGTCCTCCGAGTCTGGGCACTGGCCGTCCGGGCCTGGAGGGCAATGGCAAATACACGGGCCCTGCCCTAAAGGCTCCTTTTGTTAACCTACTAGTAAGGCTCTGGACCAACTATACAGATTTAATGTCTCTTGAGTTCCCTCGCCTTTGATAAGCACATCGGCATTTGGCAGATCAAAGGCATGTCCTCATCTCACGCTATGCGCAGGATATAGGAGTTGGCACTCGAAGCTTGACACTACAAAAAACAATTAGCTGCTAGCAAAGACAACGCTCTCCGGCTCTAACAAAACCCGAGCCCGATGTTCTTTGCTGGGTGGTGGCATCGCTGCTGTGCTCCAACCGCGAACGGCTTCCTGATTACGAGCCATGTCTCGCGCTTCTCGCCGAAGAGCTGGCAAGGTCAGTGGCTTGACAGTGACCTCCTCCAAACGGCCGTAGGCCTGCACAGGCAACGAGACCTTGTGCGTGGCCAGGATGAAGAGTCTCCGAGCCCCTCACGTGCACGCAGATCTGAGTCGCTCCGTCCTCAACTTCGGGGTTTAAACTGCAGCTCGACTGCAGATTTGCGATGGCGAATACGCCAGACTCATGTGTCCGTGCTGGCAGGTGTCCTTCTCGGCTGGCTGTGGCCTCTGCAGAGTGTTGTCCTGGAAGGGGCAGGCATATGAAAGACCTCAAACAAGTCACAAAAGCTGTCAGGGAGAAGGCAAATCAGAAAGGTCAATAGAGACTAGACGTTGACAGCAGCCCGATCCTGTTGCCAAGTCTCCTCCATGTCCGACATGACATTGGGTCATGAAACCTCCTCGATGAGTGCCATATGATCGTTGATAGAAGCGGCTGGGACTAATTCTTCTGTTTTTTACCGACCGATGCTCTGTTCTACTTGACTCTGAAAGCAGGGCACCACGCTGCAAGATGTTCTGCAAGGCTCAAGTTCTAAGTGGGCACGAGCAAACGGAATCGCTTAGGTTCTCTCGGGCCACATCGCGGCAGACGTGAGACATGCTGAGACATACAGCTACTGGACTTGCAAGCATCGGTCAGAACACTGGTCGGAGAGTGCGGAGCAGCACTCAAACTGCCTTGCTGGGATGTCTCCCACCGCCGCAGCCCAGCACCTGCAGGTTGCCACATTGCAGCTCTGCCCATTTTCCGCTTGGATTCAATGACGTTAATGACGTGGATGTGAAGCATTGCCTGTTGTGGATGGTTTTAGCATATATTTTTTTCCCGCAGCGATGCTGAGGCTGAAAAAATCTTTGCGGCTTCATCGTGTAACGTTTTTCCACTCATGCACGCAGCCGATCATGCCGACTGCATGGTCCACAGGGACGGGCTGCTGATGCTCATCATGTGCAGTGATTCGGGCACGCACTGTGCCAAAGCAACCCCTCTCTAGCTGCTGGCTTCGCTCCTCTCTTTGCCAGTGCTCGCCCAGGAACCGTCTCTCGAAAGCGGCGTCCCACGGAGCGCAGGGCCTCCTGGAGGGTGAGAGTCAGGCAAAAATGCTCAAATGTCTGTCTTCGGGCGTTGGCCTCGTCATCGAGGCCGGCCTAAGGGCTGTCAGGAAAAGCACCTTAAGACCTCCCATTCGATTTCCTGCCTCCTCAAAGGCAGCAAAGGCATCGGCAGACAGAACCTGCGGGGACCAACGCACGCTTCGCGTTTCGTTTCGACAGAGCTTGCAGTAGTGACTAACTAGGACTTCGCTTCACTTGCCACCTCGGCCCACTTGTACGAGTAGTATCCGGCGGCATAGCCACCAGCAAAGATGTGGCTAAAGGAGCCTGTCATCAGCCATGCAGTCGACCGATGCATCCGCATTGATCCCTGAGATTTGTAAGCACCCGGCACAAGAACCGATCTTCCTCTAGTGGCGGCAGGATCCTCAAGCAAAGCTTCAATGCTCTCCATTGCCATAAAAAGCCCAAGGTCAACTCAGCACACTTGCGAAGCTCGAAAAGCCACATCTTGTAGGTTCATCTAAGGCGCTGGTACTTGGCAGCCAATCGCCGCTGTACATCCAGGAAGGTTTCTGTTCCGTCCTGCACAGGCTTTTGCTGCGGCATAGCCCCTCACACTCTCTGCCTCAATCCGAGTGGCTGGATCGTACTCAGAATGAAGCTTCATGTCCAGATCCCCGAACCTGAAACGTCCAAGAGCGAGCCCCCAGTAAGCACCGAGACAGAGCCTGTGCAGTGTTTCAAGACCTAGACATTGAGATAGTCTTATTTCTGTTGCCAGGAGACTGCAGCTGACGAAGCATCATGGAGGCGGCCATGAAGATACGGCTGCCTCCGAAGTCACTTCTTGAAAGAGCTCACCACTTCCTCCAGACGTGCGGATGCTCGCACAGCCCGGTCCTTTGATCTTCTCAAAGATGTCTGCAGGAAGCGGTTCCCCGGTTTCGTAGTGCACCGCAAACGAATCCACGGTTGGCTTGTGGTAGAGCCAATTCTCCATGAATTGCGAGGGAAGCTCCTAAGTCTGGTTCAGCTACGAAGGGAGGCCGCAAAGGCAAAGGCGAGGCGGCGAGGCTGCGTGTGAGGCCAGGCTTCCACCGCATCCCACTCGACGTTGTTGATGCCAGCGCAGTCACCATCCTTTTTCGTGAACTCGGCAGGTTTACGGCACATCAGAGGCGGAGCGACACGGCTCCTCCACATGAGTCAGCATGTGCTGGAGACCGTGGCCAAACTCATGGAACAGTGTCTCAGCCTCGGAGAACGTCATCCTTAGATATCCCATGGAACGCTTGCAGACAGGCCACAGAATATATGAGCTCTTCAGCCGGGGCACAGAGATGGCTTTGAACCCACTGGCGGGGAGCCTCTTCCAAGACGGAGAAGGCGATGCACCCGATGAAAACACACGCAAGAATGCTGACCAAGCAACCATTGCAGGTCAGGTATGCAACTGGCTTTGTCCCCACAGCCTGCCACGCGGCTCTTGGGAAGGGCACCACGACAGAAGATGTCAGTCGTTGAGATGCGCGGCCTTTGAGCGGCCGAGGCAGTCGTCCATCCAGGCTCCTCCGCGTTTCCTGGGCTTCGCCGTCACTTCACTTGCGGGACGTGGCGACATGGCGCCACTGGCAATGGGTTTTCTTGCCAGCGTCTCCCCCGGGCGTGCATAGGGATCCAGGAAAAACGAAGCCTGAGTTTGCGACAGTCACCGGTGTGCGCCATTTCAGTAGAGTTCCCAACGATACAGAAGCAGCAGCAATCTCAAGCAAGAAGCGATGTGGTTGCCTGTGCTTGCATCTTGCACCTTGAAGAACATGACATCAGGATGCCATCCTTATGGTGACTCTGGGCGAGGACTCATGCGCCAGATGCCACGTCCGCTCGCTTTACCAGCCTCTCTGTGCAGGCATGATGCGCTCCGCCGCATCATCGTCTTGAACGATGTCTACCGCGAAGAGCTTTGAGGCAATGCCAAACCTTTGTCGGCGATCTGAAGAACAGGCGGATACGGGAGCACTGGTGCAACACAGATTTTTTGATCATGGAACCTGAAAACACACACACACACACACACACAGTGCTCGGCAAGCTGCATGCCTTCTAGCACTTTCGGAAGTGAGAAGTACGGCCTCAAGGCCTCTTCATCATAGGCATACCTGGAAATCGCATGACATGGCAGGTTCCAGCTCTTCTGGCTCATGGATTCTTGTTGCTGCTTCTGGGTCACTTCTCCTCTTTCAGACGCTCCGTCCAGAAGGTCACATCCCAGAGCCTGAAGCGACTTCAGAAAATGATAACACTAAGTAGGATTCTAATTCCGGTAACTGTACTTATAAGTAATTATAACCCCACTTGAGGTAGTTATACTACCACTTAGGGGGGGCTAGAGCCTGGTCTCCGTCGCTCGGGGCGACATATCCCCGAGGCCAACGAGTTTGCTGTTGCGAGTCTGACCATTGCTTAGGCCAAAGCTCGGTGTTTTCTGCTTCACTTGCTTGGCATGGCCATTCTGCAGCCGTGATTTCTGCAGCAAGCTTTGACTGGGCTAGATCCTGTTCTTCCATGCTGCTTCGCTGCTTGTTCTTGCTGCCTCCCTCTGGCTGGCGTTCCTGCTTCGTCGACTGGCCAGAAGCCGCTTGCTGTGTGCTTTGCTGTAGCTGAATCATAGTCCGTCATTGCTGTCTTGTGTCCGTTTCCACGGGTAGACTTACTATTACTGAAGACAGAATTCCTTATGCATCTGTTTGGGTTGGCCAGTGCCTGTTCTTCCCACACGCATCTGGATTGCATCACTGCTTGGGACAGCTTGCTGAGGCTACAGTTCAATCTGTAAACGACGCTCACGCTGGTCACGCAAACGTGTGCACGACGTGGACGGCTTGCTCCCATCACGGAACAGTCGGCTTTCTGCTCAGCAGGACAGAGCAAGTTCAGGTCTGAGGTCTGCACTGCAACTTGCCTGCGTAACCTGCAAGCCAGCATTATTGCGCCGTAACTCAGAAAGCTGATGGTTGAAGTGTATAGAAGAGCGCGTCTTACACCCTTTACAGCATACTTTGATGCTGTGATTTCATCGGCTTTATCCCGACCACTGCCAGCATGATGTGAGCTGTTTCTGCCATTAGGCTGCTGCATCCGGGCAACTCGCAAGCAAGGAGAGAGACTCTTGGCAACCATAGCACCACAAAGCTCTGCGCAAGTGCTCCCTGTTTCCCTGGACGTGCCTTTCGCATTGGCGAATTCCTGCTTTGCGGCAAGGGGATGGGTGGAGGTGGGGGCCTGACGAACCAGCAGACCCTCCCTGTCCTGCAGCTCGTCGAGCTCCTTCTCGGCAGCGGGCCGCGCCACCGCGAACAAGTCCTCTGCAACTTTGACCCTGCTTTTCTGGGCCGACAGGCCGACGGGGAGGGCCTCCGTCAGCTTGCTCACCGCCTCGATGTTCGGAGCCATCCTGGTGAGCTCGACAGCAGGGAACTCAGACTCGCGCCTCCCAAAGCTGCAAAGCTGCTTCGAGGCCAAGGATTCGGAAGCGTAATTCTCGAAGCCGAGCATGGCCGAGGCTTTCTTCCCTTGGCGACGGCAGCTGAGGGAGTAGAGCTGGCAGGGCTGCGGAATTGAATTCCGCATGTCGCTGCATGTCACATTCCACCTGCAACACCGAGGCCACCACGCAGTTGCAAGATCTCGGTGATAAGTGGCCCGTTGTCCATCTTGTCGGAAGAAGCCTGCAGCTTGTGCTGAGCTGTTGATGTCCATTCCGATCAACTCCTCGCAGCTCGAACCCTGAGCTGTCCGCGCGCGAGATGAAAGCACGGTAGAGCCTGGCTACAACCCGCGCATTCACAGACCAAGTGAGATTCGTTTAGCTATGCTAAATTAAGTCAATCGAATACCGACTCAACTCTGTGCGAAGTAGACCTAATGGCTAGACTTCAGATATGCACACGCTGTTGTACGTATCCTTGTATGGCACAGGCTTGCGCTGCGAGCCGTTGGATCGTGTATCCGGTGCTGGCTACAGACTCTAGACTCTAGACTTTAGGCCCTAGCCAAGACTACACTCTAGACTCTAGACATATCCTAGACACCTAGTCCTTTGGAACTCGACACCCAAGAGGGTTGGGAGAGGGCGTGGCCGCATTTCCTATGTCCTGTAGTAGTGATTACAGTTTATCTATATTAAGAACTATATACTTATACTTATGATTGGTAATTATACCATTTATACCTTATAACTTTCAAATACCAGAAATATAAAGAACTTACCCAAATAAAGAGTTACGCTTACTCTAGTCACTCTAGTCATACTCTAGTCAAGTCTAGTCCGGAGCGAATGGGAGATGGGGCTGAACGCGGGTATGCGATATGGGGGAAACGAGAGATGGGAGCCCCGCATAGAACAGAGCCAGAACAAGCAGAGCTCGGACAGATTCAAGCGGCTTCTCACGCAGCTCGGAGGACTTCAGGTGCTTCATGGCGGGAAGGTAGGAAGGCCTTGATGGCGAGACCAAGGATGTGAGGACATGCCCTTGGACAGCGAACATCCGCCTCCAATCAATGGCCCTACTAGCACCTGGCTGCCGCTTTTCATTCCGAGCTGCATGTCCAGCGTCAGCCGCCAAGGACCGGACTCTGGAGTGGCCTCGGTGGCGTTCCGTCGTTCCGTTCTCACAGAAACATGCAAAGCAAAGTGTTTGGTTTCAGGTTTCCCCATTGCAGCAGCGGCCTCGGCCGGGGCCTGAATCTCTTTCTCGGATTTGCCACTGTGTGCTTGATTGTAGGACTGCGCCGCTGCCTCGAATGCAAAGATACGACGACTCCTTTCTCCATCTTCCACTGCTAGCCAAAGCGGCCGCCAGAGCACTAGCGGGGAGCCCTTCCACATCCTGCACGTGACAAAGACATACAAAGACACCACGACGTACTGCTCCGAAAACAATATCGATCTTCGGAGTCCTTCACTTCGGTGAGAACCAATTCGAAGGCCTCGCATGTCAAAGCCAACTCGAAGACTTCCCTCTTATCTTGCTGAGTCTCTATTCTGCCTTCGTTGAATCCAGCAGATTGTTCTGGAAAGTTGTACCTGCGATCACCGCTGCAACAGCCCAACCGCTTGCAGATTCGATAATACGCAACGATCGGCTGTGCAGACCTGTCGAAATTATTTTCGCCACACGCCTGTCAAGTGTAAGGGACCTCGCATGCCTTTTAGCCGGGCCAGAAGGCAAGAATCGGCGAGCACCTTATAAAATTGTAAATATTCAGTCGAAGTTGTTCCCTCAGCCGGCACTGGCATTAGCTCGAACGTCGACATGAAGGAACTGTGTGCATCGCCCACCTTCAACCGCATCGCGATTGAAGTCTAAAGCAGGCCGCAGATTGCCGAGTGACATTATTAATCTACCGCTGCAATAGCGCTCGAACGCTTGGTCGGCAATCTGCTTCAACATATTCCAACATCTTTCAGAAACGATACAGACGACTCTATTGTAGAGCCATCCTTTAACAGAACCCTCTCCTGCAGAAGGCTCCACAGGAGGTCAAGACCTCGAAACTTTGTGGCAGCCCTCTGGCTGCTTCCTTGAGCTTGTGCAAAGTCTAAAATTTGCTGTTAATTCAGGGGGGGGCAGCTCCACTGCGACGCGGATGAAAGCCCCGCAGCCAATCAATCAGTGGCTCGTTGCGGGATTCATCGTCCAAGCTGCATCTTTCATCCGCCAAAACTTTAAGGGTGTTGTTGGCACCCTGTCCCCCGGAATAAGGTTGCAAGAGAACCATCTTGCCTTCGTGCCAACCGATTGCTCAAGACACATCAAACTAACAACTATAAATATCCTTCTGCATGATGCCCAGCCACGTTCAAACCACCGAGTCGTCGTCCGATCCTTTCTTGGGTTCTTGAATGTACTGGCGGACAGGGCTGTGGTATGCCATCTCACCGTGCTCGGTGAGATCAAGTCCTGTTGTCCACTCTCACTCTTCTTGCATGTCCCTCCGCAGCCCTACACAAGATCCGATGTCCTCCTGTACCAATCGGCTTCAAAGGCATGCACACATTGATTGCCTTGTCAGCGCTTCCACAATTTTATGTGAGCTTTCGGAACTCTAAACTTCAAGCCTTCCTGTGCATCTCTGCCCCGAGTGCAGGTCCAGCGGGTTGCCAGTGCTGTGTTGCAAGAGCTGATGAAAGCTATCACCCAGCACGCACCAACAGCATCACACTGTTTGAACGCTTCTCATCTTGCTACCTTCGTCTCCCTTCACAAGTCTGACCCTTTGCATCTGTTTGGACCTCCCTCCAAGCTGTCCGGGTTCCGTTGAGGCCTTCAGCAGCACGAGCGTCACGAGTACAGAGTAAACAGCAGCAAGAAGAGCCGCAGCAAGCTGCTTGCCTCAGGAAGTACTGATTCTTACATGAGAAAGCCATTAAACTAGGCGGGTAGGGGTAGGTGGATAGTTGGGGTAGATCGGTGGGGTGGAACGGTATATGTGATTGTAAACCACACCATCGAACAAAAACGTTGACAATTAGCATGTTGCAAGACGAACCGAAAGACCGCCACAGAGAGAGAGAGAGAGCGCGGGTTCATGTTATGTACCGAGGCTTTCTCTCTCTCTCTCTCTCTCGCTTCTTCCACACAGTCAAGAGCACGGCAGGCACCGCACTCTGCGCGCGTACGCGCACTGGTTGTTTGGTTGATGTGTGAACACTATGTGCGATGAGGGCCGAGGTTTGCGAGCAGGGACCCAACTAAACTACTGTTATACCCCCGGCCTCATCTGGTGCATGCCGGCACTGTCCCCCCTCACGCTGTTTGTTACTTACTGACAACTCGTAAGAGGGACCGGGCGACCTCCGTTCAAAGCAGACAGCAAACACATGCTTGTAACACATAGTTTCCGCCGGAGGTCCCCCTGTATGTCTCTGGTATTCTCTCTCTCTCTCTCTCTCTCGCTCTCTCTCTCTCTCTCTCTCTCTCTCTGTATATATATATATATGTATATATACATATATATTCATATATATATATATACATGTGGGGTTGAAATTTTGCAGCTCAAGCCGCCGACCTGCTCGATACTGGCTGTCACCTGCAAAGAAACACAGGCCCATCTACTCCGATCAGAACGGCCATCTACCTGCTTCAAAACGCCTGCATGCCGCAGCTTCTAACCCCTCCCGGCCTGGCCCGGATTCACGCCTTGGCTCAGAAACATCCCTTTGCAGAAACTGTTTTGATTGAAGCTCTGCGCTCTTTGAGTCCGGCCACAATAGCTAGGGGCCGCTTCCAGACCACCGCACTCTTCCGGATCGGCCAGCACACCCAGCCTTGGACAGCTTGGCAAATATGAACCGCTGCTCGCAAGTCCCCGGTTGCTGGGATCAACAAGGCAGCTAAAAGTCTCGGGTGCATTTCACGAGCAAGAAGCCGCCCATGTCTTCAGAAGTGACTCCTACGATGTAGAAAGCCATCAGCAGGGACGTCTTCGGCTTCCGGACTCGGTGCCTGCAGTCTCTGGGACAACCTCGGAAACCTAGTGGTCGATGTTTTGAACCGCTGGAAGAAAAAGGTATGGGCACACTGATGATGCCAGACAATTTGCGGCAAAAATGCCACGCTCACACAGAATCTCGCAATACCCATGCCTAACCATGTACGTATGCATGCGGTCATGCTCCTTTGCACGCAGTGTACAGTAGTGCAATCAATCAATGCTAACGTAGTTTCATTTCAAGTAAGATAGGGAATGGCATGGGTGCCGTATTGTATGTCGTGGCATGACGAGCAAGAACATTGCAAAGTAAGGTTACTTCATTTGCCTGAGCATATGTATGCACGTAGCTAAACATGCTGATATGCACAGATATGCAAACTGCCATGTGACCATGTGTGTGTGTACATTTAAGAGTTCATCGGCCGCGCAGCATGACGGTGCCCACAAAGCCACCCATACCATGGACGCCCCAGACATCGAGAGCATCGTCAAAGCCCAGCCGCTTTCCTTTCGACAGGTGTCTGACAAAGCCCAACAGACCCCCCGATGCTGGCATGGCTTGCAAGTGCAAGCGTCCAGTTACACTAAGCACGCCAAGCTGCGAAGTTCGCAGCACGCGTAGCAGAAGAAGGTGGCAACGATGCCGAGAATGAATCTGACAGTCTGTCTAATCAGCAACATGACAAAGACGAATACAAGGAGAACGATGGAGCAAGAAAGAATGCTTTTCTGTCTCGGCCACTCCGGCGGACGGTTTCAGATTTCTGAACGCTTTCCCAAGGCCCTAGGCACACGGACGCCTTTCGGCTAATGTAACCACTTCAACCAGTTGGTAAAACGGTTTCCACACGACACGGCAACCACGGTGTCACGACCTTTGTAAAAACAGGCACGCAAAGGAGCAAGAGCGACTGAAATGCAGACGATGCACGCACCCCATGGCTGGATGAAGCCAGCCGCCGGTGTGATGGTTGCAAGGCCGGCGATGGCACCCACACAGAGTCCGACCAAACCAGGACGACCGTTGCGAACCCAGTCAATCAGGAGCCAGAGGAACAAAGCTACGGAAGCTGAAATCTCAGAGTTTACAGCTGCGCCAACAGCCACTGATCCGGTTGCCAATGCTGATCCTGAACCGAGGGACACGGGATTCCACTGCCGGTACTGCCACGTTGCAAACAACGCACGTAAAGGTCAGGCAAGGCACCAGCGTTGAAGCCAAACCAACCAAACCAGAGCATCGCCGTCCCGAGGGCAACAAAGGGGACATTGTGAGGTCGGTCGTGGTCCTGGTGCGCCCGAGGCTGTCGAGTCTACCCATGAAAACCATTAGAACAAAAGAGAGGACGGACTCTCAAAGCAGTCCTCCAAGTCCTCTTCCGAGACTTGGCGCTTGCCCACAACAATGAGACTTGCCAGTGCGGAGAATCCCGCAGTGACGTGCACCACAATGCCTGCACCACCGTACCACAGGTCAGTTTCAACTTGGCCCCGAAACTAGACGGGACAATCTCCACAAAGCAGGCTGTAATGCCGATGCACCTCCGGCAAAGTCCTTCACACCCCACTGCGCCAGCCATCCTCCGCCCCACACCCAGTGGCACCACGGCGCATAAACACACCTGCAGCATTCTCACTTGCAGATCTTGCCGATCCTGCCAGACACTCGATAATTTCTCATGCAGCCGAGACACACAAGCCAGAGGGCAATGAATGCCAGGTATGGCTTGAAGCGGAAGCGGTCAGCAAATGCACCGGTCATGAGTGCCGGTGTGATAACAGCGAACATGCCTCGAGGGAGGCGGGAAAGATGCACTTGCAGATCTGCAGGTGCTGTGACACGTGCTGTTACGACGGCATGGTCAGTACCGCAAACCACCAAGATGCCCTGGTATCCCGCGAACAGGAGGCCCGGAATGGCCATGTCCGGGAGTGCCTTGAAACGAAGCGCATTCAGATATTCATGACTCCGACTAGCTGCACCCCACGTGGGCTATCTCGCGAAACGCTCCAAGCTCTCCCGGGCCTCGTTCACATTCAGTCCCCGGAGGCCAAAATGTGTGAAGGGGTTCCCAATGAAGTAGAGACTCTCCCCGAAGCACAGGGAATAGCCGATAAGGAACCTCGAAAACACGCATGCCTTTAAGAATCCACAGTTATCGTGGTTCACCTTAACACATGCAACCCGACACCCTTTTTCTGCCCGAGCCGGCAGCCAGATGATACTGGCAACTCCCATTGACACAAAGCTCTGCATCATCATGGTGAGAACCTTCGTAGCAAGTGGAGCTGCGCAGCTGCTGCTCGAGAATCGAGACTGGGTCTGCCACGCTGGTGTCCTTGACCAGGCCTCGAGGCGCTCATAGATATTCAGGTCTGACGATCCAAGAGCCACCGACCCTTTGCTCCTGCCTCCATAAAAGAATGCCAAACCCGGTGTCATGAACTGCACCAGCGCCATGCACACCATCATGAAGGCCTGGCAGAACAAACCCCGGCATTCACAAAAGCTGTTGGTCTCCGCCCCATGCTACGATGATCAAGCAGCCAGTCATTCTCTATTCACAACCTCTCTTAAGGAAAGTATGTTCGCTGTTGCAGAGACTTGACTCCATAGCTGCCGGCACGTGACAGTGCTGGCAGCATCGATGTCTCCCACCGCCATTGTTGAAGCACCTGCGGGACAAAGTGGCTACGATGGCAACGTCACGCAGTTGCCCAACATTGCCTCGACTCCAGGACCAACTCGTCGCAAGGGTTCAAAGCTCAAATGCTGCAGAAGCAGGCATTCGCTGCGAAGGCCCGCAGTGACACGAATAGCTAGGGTCATAAGAGCAATGAGTCCCATTCCCATGTTCGAAATGATACGTTGCTGAACAGCTTCGCAAATCGCGCCAATCGGTATCGCCGCATTCGTTTACATGCTCCTGCCAGCAGCCTCTCTGCTTTGCAGAGGGCTGGACTGGAGAAAGCTGGCTTGCTGCGAGTAAGAGCATCTCATGTCAGCTTCGAACATGAGGGCCCTTCGGAGCAGAAAACGATGTCTGAGACCCACGGTGGGCCCAGCTCAATTGATGGAAAACAAACGTCGCTGCCCTCCTGTGAAGGTAGCGACACTAATTTGATCCAACTGCGATCAACTAGTCCTAAAAGGATCTGAGTAGCAGATCCCTTGAGGTGGATGCCGTGCTTTCCTCGTGAACTTTACCTACGAAGAAGGCCCGTCACTGTGATGGCAACATCTGGCAGTCATATCGTCGGTGCCGGCATCCAATCATGCAGACTCAGAAGCGGACGATTCGCCATCCCCGCTTTCGGTTTGACTCGTGCCTTCTTGCAGCCTGGCCTTGAGGGTCTCGTCAAGGTAAGAACGAGCTGGGCTGTGATACGCCTTCTGCTCATGGTGCCTGAGCAAAGTGGCTCACAGTTTCTCTCACTCAGAATGTCCTCGCTTGCGCAGCTGAGACACTCGTGCAAGTCCACATGCAAGCTCTCCGGATTCAGAGGCATGCAAAGGCTGATGCCCTGGAGCGTCGCACAAACTCACCATGCCAGTACGACTGTCACCTTCGCTTGCTACCAGGAGACCTTGTTACGAGGTTTGCCCCTGCCCGCCTTGAGAATGATAAGTGTGGCGACCACAGAGTATGCGGCGCAAAGCAGCACAGCCGCTGTCTGCTTACCTGACAAACCGAAGCCGGCCAGCGTCAACAAGAAATCTTAGTAGACACCGGGACAAGTCGAAGTCGTGAGTTGCAGCTGTGCCGTAGTTTTGGCATCCCTGGCCTATCTGCGATATCGATGCCGTTACGGTCCCGGGATTGATGCAAAAGTCCGGCGCTGTGGCCTCGCACAGTTGCACCGTTGTGGGCAGAGCCTTTGTGTCTGTGCCTGTGCTCGTCTAAGTTTGTCGTCTGCTCCTTGTCGGCGCACTCGCTGCCGTCTGCCAGGGCACCGAGCCTGGTTCAAGAGTCTCTTGCACAGTGCATCGTCGAGCTTTTCTTCAACAGCCGTTCGAAGCGCTTGTTCTGCGGCTGGAGGACAGGATGGCTCCAATGAAGCCACCCATGCCGTGGACACCCCAGACATCCAGGGCATCGTCTAGCTCAAGCTGGTTGATCAGCTCAGTACAGGCGTAGCAGAAGAATGTCGCGATGACGCCCAACACGAACCTTGTCTGACCAGTGCTGAAAAATCTGCAGGAACAATAGTCTCAAACGGCCGTTTTGATATCGTTTAACGTCGATGAAAAGCAATTGCTCTCTTTCCCCTCGCACTTCTTTGCGGCCCTCAAACGCCCCCCATGGCTGGACGTAGCCGGCTGCTGGGGTAATCGTTGCAAACCCAGCAATGGCCCCAACGCAGATTCCTGTCAAGGTGGTGACGATTCCAGTGGATTTAACGGCTGCATGTACACGCTCGACCTCTTGCATGCAGGCAGAGTCTCCAACAAGCGACGGCTTGCCGAATCGAATCCATTCGATGATCTCAGCTCTTGCTGGTCACCCCTCATGCATGGCATAGCAAAACGGGATGTCCAATTTGCAGCAAGGCGGCCAGCCAAAGAAAAAGCGCAACAGACGCCGAGATCTGAGAGTTCACCGCCTCGGCTATCAAAGCTCTCTTTCTATCGCTTTTCCCCGACGGCCCCGAAACCCCAATGCTTGTTGAAGCATTCAGGCATGTTCAGGCCTTAATCATCTATATGACAGGTGGCAGCTCCTATCGCGACACCGTTGGCCGCGCCTGCCGAACCTTCGCGGGATCACGGATCAGCTCAAGTCTGTTCTCGCCGGACTGTCTTGCATCCCGCCTCCATTGAATCCAAACCATCCAAACCAAAGCAAGGCTGTGCCCAAGGCCACGAACGGAATATTGTGTGGAGTATTGTGGATGTGCTTCTCCTCGTCCGCGATCTCACGATGCCCGATCACTCTCAAACTCGCGAGTGCAGAGAAGCCTGCTGTAACGTGGACGACGATACCTGCGAACAGAGCACCGTTCGTCCGACTCTGCATCTAATATCAAACTGGACGTGGAGCCCGAGAGCTCTGAACACTGCACAAGGTATGCCTCCTGCAAAGTCGACAACGCCCCACTGCGCAAGCCAGCCACCACCCCAGATCCAGTGGACCCATGGGAAGTACACCAACCTGACAACTGCTCAAGCAGACCGGCTGCGACGTTACGCCAGCTGCCAGTAGTACCATGAATTGCTCAGCCACCCCCCACCAGAAAAAATGGAAAGCAGATGGCTCTTCGTCGACGCAACTTAAGGGTGTGCTCAGCGTAGAGGTAGCCGCAACTAAGGAATAGACGAGGGCGGACAACATATAGTCTGATGATGCAAATGAGTTCCAACTTCAGTTCTTTTTGCAACGACGAACCTTTCGAAAAAGCATCCCCGACCTTTCCAGGCCGAAGTTGTATTTAAAGACATCGAGAAAGCAGGGAGAGAACGCAGGACAAAATGCAGAAACCAAAGCGCAAACTACGAAAGATGCGAACAAAACAACGGGCCGATGGGCAGGAGCGACTGGGGCAGCTGCAACTTACTGACGTAAGGGACAATGACACAGATACCAACAGGTGAGTGCCAGCAATGGGAAACGAAGGCAAACAGGATCAACTGACAGCGACTAAGCAAACTTCAAACATAACCAGTCCAAAAATCAACAAAACGACAAGGAGGATCAAGCACAAGCAAATAACGGTCCAGGCGAAAGCGGCTAAAGGCAAACACCGACAATTATTCACAGCAAGCTTTGACAGGCTCAAAAAAGGATGGGGCTGGGGTTTGCGGATGTTTGCGGCCTTCGCCCTACCTCCCCACCCCCGGCCCTGAAACTTGCTAAGGCGGCCTTCGCCCTACCCCCCCACCCCCGGCCCTGAAAATTGCAAACACAATGCTCGAATAAGGCATTTAACGAGGGTCCCATGTGTTGCAGAAGGTTCTTCTTAGCAAGCTTCGCGAGGTGAAGCCCTCACCCCCCCCCCAAAAAAAACTTGCAAACACGGTCTCGAATGGCCGAATCCGAATGATGACCGGAAGAGAGGATTCATCAGGCCGGGGGATTGCAGCATCTCCGTTCGACAGCATGACCTTCTTCATAGCAAGCTTCGCGCTTAGGAAACAACGAAAGGGGAGTTGGGTGTGGGGTTGGGGCGACGCCCTTGTTTCCCACTTGCGAACTCAATACTCGAGTGGAGGGACCGGCTTGCAAATCATTTACGAAGCTGGTAAAGCAAACGGCCAAAAGCAAAATGGAACCTAACAAGCGGCAAGCAAAGAACGAAAACAAAACTCGAAACAGCAAACAGGATCCGCGGAATTCAACAGCGGTTGAAAGAACTGAAAGCAAACACTGAAACCAATTAAACTAAAAAGGTGCCTAACTTAAACCTTTCCAACTTTCCAACAAACTGCATATTTAGGATTCGTTTAATATCTGAGGTTTATCCGGTACGGGAAACAAACCAAGGCACAAAAAGCGGACCGTAAGCAGCACATGCACAGTACACGTATTCTCGGCACGGCACCTGCATGAGACGTTAGGGACATGCCCGTCCTACACATGACCTGACCAAACCATGGCACAGGAATGTATGGGACACTTGGGACTTCAGCAAAGGATTAAAAACAACTGCTTGAATGTTGCCAGTCAAGCCCAGCAGCACTAGCCACAGACACAAGAAAATAAGATAAGGCTTGACGCGCATTCGATCCGCAAATGAACCCGTCATCAAAGCAGGAGTGATAATCGCGAACATACCTGACAGCATTGCAATTTCCATAGACTGCAAAACTCTGGCAAGCTCTGGGACGCGCCGAAAATCCAGCACTTCCTCTGTAACGATCTTGCAGCTTGCGAGGGGCCTTGGTAGGCCGCGAAGAGTTCGCTTGGAATAACCTGCCCGGGCAGCGCCTGAAGGCAGAGAGTCGCGTTACCGCGGACACCGATTGCAGCAGCGAATGCTGACACAGGCCTCTCTCACGCTCAGATTGCGGAATCCGAAGTGTGTCCAGGGATTGCCGATGAAGCCCCAGCTCTCGGCAAAACACATGGAGAAGCCGAAGGCGAACCTGATCCATCAGCAGTACAGGCAAGCTTCATGTCGGAGTAGACTTGGCTCATGTCGACATTAAGCCGAGAATGATGCCAGGATGTAGCTCTCTAGACGGCATTCCGTTGCCCTCTAGGATTGCCGGCAGCACTGCTGGTGCTGTGAAAGCGTTGCCAAGCGCACTGCATACGGAAGAAAACTTAGTGGGCAACCAGACGATCATGGCAACTCCCATGGAAACGTAATTCTGCATCATCATCGTCAACACCTCAGGATGGATGCTGTTAGCTGGCAAGCTTACACGCATTCTTTGTTTTTTGGACCTTTTTGGGCCACAAGTTCGAAGTTCGGCTTGGCTTGTTGCGACCCTTTTCTTGGTCTCAGCCTGCACCTTCACCAGAAAGGAACGACCCAGGGTCGCTGTGGCAAGCGGCGAGCTCAACATATCGACTCTCACAAACAAGACGTCGCGAAGCCCAAAACACTGAACTGAGAAAGCACGGAATTGCCGCAGCAGTTGCATCGTCAGAACACTCTACCCCAACATGCTTTGGACAGCTTGTCAGACTGCAAGATTGCAAGAAAAACAGGTGAGGAGCATGCCCTGAAACAGTCAGCTGACCTGCAGACACAATTGGCTGAGCACGGCACGCTGGTCTCCTTCACCAGACCACCATAGAAAAATGCCAAGCCCGGTGTCATTAGCATAACCAAGGCCATGGCAATTAACATCCACACCTCGAAAGGCGCCCCCCCCCCACCCCCCACGGGTGCAGTTTGGCAGATCACCAAAGGAAGCGCAGCCGCTGAGAACCGTTCTGACGAAAGCTTCTAAAAGCTCTTTCAAACGCCGGCACTCTGAGAACTTCGACAGGCCGAGCGTCTGTACTCGCGGCGTCGACGCCGTCGACGACCATGGCGCCTGGCTCTCTGTGGGAAAACCACGGCGCCTCTTCCCCTTTACGAGCCCGTTGACCACCCGCTGGAGGACAGATGGCAATGGCAAAGTTCAAGGCCCGGCATGTCCCGACACATCCGAAAAGGCTCAAGAGACTTCGACAGATTGAAGCTGAAGATGCAGAAATCGTTTGAAAGCTCTACTGTCGTTGTCGTGGCACAAGAACCTCGGCGCGCCTGGGTTGGCAACCTGCTCTCAGGAGCAAAGAATTACCGTGACAGCGCTCTCGGTCTCCGCCTCAAGGATTCCCACAACACAGCATCAGACTGTGAATCATACCGCGTCCTTCGACCACCAGATGTATGTGGAAAGCTTCGCAGTTGCAGCCGGATGCAGCCGGGACTCTGCGTCCGAGTACGGCAGAAAGTCGCAAAGCTGCTAAGCCGAAACGGCTTTCAAACGCCGCGAGTTCGAGCTTTTATTAAATGCTATTCGACCATCAGAGGAAAAGAAACCTGATTGTTCTGCGCAATTCGCTGGAGTGGCGGACCGAGTTCGGAGAGGCGCAGTGCCATAGTCTTGGTGACATGCATGCGACACTTGCAGGGAACGGGACAAGAAACAAGAAGCGCAGCTCTCTAACAAAGCAGACAAGGTAGTTGGTGAGGCCAGGGCATTGAACTCTTCCTTCGCACTCCCCTGCTGGGATTCGAATGATTCAACGACTCACGCAAGGCATGCATAAGCACTAGGTAAGCGAAGACCACGAAGACACACTAGAAACGCCCGCGTCTCATTGAAAGATCTGCAAATGGGGCTGGAGTCGCTTTGTCTGCTGAGTTTGGTGTGGATCTAGCAGAAGGACGTGCCGATTACCTCCACTCCTGGATCCCACCTACTCATGATGGCACTACTCGAACCGTGGAATGTGGAAGCTTGCATACGCAATCCCATTCGCTTCAACATTGAACTAGAGTGCACCAGCCCGCCACTGTTCGTTCATGCATATTTGTGATTGAGACTTGCCTGGCACCCGTTCATCATTCCCGCATGCTCCCCAATCTTGATCAGCTTCTTGCCGACGTTTATTGGATTCGGCAGCTTGTAGTGCCTTCCTTTTCTTTTCTAGGGCCTAGAGACGTGGCCCCTTCGGTGAACTTGCCGCGCAAGTAACAAGACAGTTATAAGTTACAAGTTCGTATGAGCGAGGACTGGGATCTACAAACATTTTCCCACACACGTGACCCCAAGAGGGATGTTTGGATACGACTACGCTTTCGGCCTCTCGAGACCGCAGCCTCGCAGCAGGCTTTACACCAGAGGTCGGCGCGACAGTATCAGCGACAGACACGGGGAGGACCAGGACAACACGAAGAAAGTCTCTAATTGACTAAACTTGAGCGCCACGGCTAGGACGAAAGCTCAACAATGGATAGGGCTGGCGACACAGGACTTGTAGAGACAGACGACATGCATTCAGATAAGTGAATTTCGAGAACTCACCGAAATCCCCATGAGAGGAACTGGACTCACAAGCAACGTTGCTACCGAATCCAAAATCTCCCGGACAAGGTAGTGCACAAATGCCCACGAAAGGAGCTGGACTGAGAAGAATCCGCATGTCAATATGCTGACCAAGAGGTGCAATTAACCTTGAGACCCTGTTGAAGCCAACATCAGCTGCATGAGAAGGAATCAACAGAGGCCCTGCAGAAGCATCAGAAGAGACCCGTTACCCTACCGAAAGAGCTCACCAGAAAACTCGAGATCAACCCAATCTAGCTCAAAAAGGCCCTCCGTGGCAACGCGGTTCTGGCCAGCCACGGTTGGGGGGCCGAGCTCCGACAAACCACGCAAAACTTCCGTTACACCCCCACACACACACACACCTATACCTATCCAGACCTATCCCCAGAATCCCAGGCTCACATTGTGAGGGAACAATCGAAGCTCCCTGCTCCGGGGGAGCTTGAGCCTCTCTCCCCGAGGGTTTCGAGAGAAGGGGAGGGGCGAGGCTGAAGAATGCCAGAAACTGCTGCATGTGGCTGCGCCACCCACGGAGGCACGACGAAGAATGGGCTCGCACGTTGAAATGGACAGGGACGGCGACAAATACAGGGAGTCTCAGGGAGGTTGAGGAGGTGCACGCACATCGTCCGAGAAGACATCGCTTCACCGTCTGTGTCTGGACCCCTTCAATTTCCGTCCTCGAGGTCCACGCCGCTCAGTCTCATGTCGCGCAGAGCCGATTCCACAATGCGCTGCCGGGACTCGGGAAGAGCACCTTCAAGAAAATTGTCAGAAGAGCCCAACAAGGGAAGGGAAGCTCTCCTTCGTCAAATGACTGCGAACCAAGACTCTCTTCTCCAAGCTGCCCAGGGCATCGAAGACCACGCGGCTCTGCGAGAGTTCCATGGACGCCTGCCCAGAAAAAATCGAGTAAAAGATGAAGAGCACTTAGACTTCACACAGGCCGGCGCACCTTGACCACCTCCGGCTGGACTGCTTGGTGGACTTCGCGCAGCGCATCAGAGTTTTTCACCTGGAAGAGTGAAGCGCGGCCTAGTTTGACCAAGCAGTCTGAATCCTCGCAGTGTCTGCCAGGTCACGTTGTTCAAGTGACTGACAACACCCCAGCTGTAGGAGAGCGGGTGGCGCAGCTTCTCAAGCGATTCCACCACCCTTGGCTGCACCAGTGGAGACGAGAGCACGTGCACACAGCCCCTCTTACGAAGCGACCTGCCATCCAAGAAGCCCCTCGTACTCAGGGTCCTTCTTAGGGAGCTCGTCCTCGAGGCTCTTGAAATCCTGAAAGGCCACGGTTTGGACGGGCAGGTCATGGGTTCTCTGTGGTCGGCTGGAGCCTCCCGCATCGACTTCAAGATCGCCTCCATGGCTGGCTCCACATGCTTGACCTCGGCACACGGTGAGGACAGACATGTCGACCCAAAAGTGAGCAGGCTCCTGTGAAAGATCACGACAGCAAGTTATCTTCAGGCCAGCATGCGTCGATGGACTGAAATCGAGGCAGCCCCTTCGTCTCCAGCAAGGGGTTGATTTCAGCGACGGCAGAAGCTGCATTTCGCCTAGCTGACGCTTGCGCAGGGTGGGAAGGGGATCGGGAGACAGGCATGCACAACTGAACCCTGTAGCTGTTCAACAGAGATAGGAGGGAACATCAACAGGGAAAGCTTATGCACGAAAAACATCACGCCTGGCATTGCGCAAATGGCGCTGCGGGGCAAGCTGCCGCACAGATCGCAGAAAGCCTTGGTCTCAACTTGGTGTCTCTGATCGCACAAATCGTATCCGCATTGGTCAGTTCTGCTTTCAGTGCTTGATTGCAGGGCTGCAGCTCCTGCCCCAAGACGGGTTATCGTAGCCCAGCAGCAAAGCTGAGCCATCGAACAAGCTGAAAGCACCACGGCCGCCTGCGGCAAACTGAAAACCAGCCCTCCAGTTCACAATCGACACGCGCTTCAGCATTAGAGCTGCGAGAAAATCCAACTGAGCATGCTGAGACCCTTGCTGAAGCAGCCCAGCGCAGAAGGCCGCTGCCGGCTCGGTTGGCACGAGTGCGAACACGAGGCATCGCAGTATGGCTGCTTTATGCTGCTTTGTTAAGAAACTTCACACGCGAGCTTCGGGCAGAGCTTCGAAGGTTTCAAGTATCAACTTACATCAGCTTTGAACTTTGGATCATGCGAGGCTGTCTCGAAGAAAAGGTAGGTGCAACAAGCCTTTGAGTCAGAACTTGGCAGGAGTGGGCTTCCACCACACCGCTGCTGAACAGGCCATTCTTGGGTATCCAGGCTCGAAGAGTCATCTCGACTGTTTGACTATGTCTCTGTCTGCTATCCTGCTGCAGAAGGCAATGTCGATTTTTTGCGATGTGCTGCATCAAGATCGCGAGCCCGTCCAGCCTCAGCACTGTGGCTTTGAGAGTGAACCGTCAACACCGAAGTATCCCTATCTGACAGCCATCGCTGGTAATAAGCTCGTGTTTGCGATTTCTGGTATCTCTCTCTGTCTCTCTCTCTCTCTCTCTCTCTCTCCTCATGGCCGCACGCTCTCTGAGCACAGCAAAGGATTGCTGAGACCTGGTGCACATCATGCAAGCTCTGAAAAGACACAACTAGGTACGGTTTGCAAGGTCGTGCCAGCTGGCTCCCGTCCGAGGGAAGGTACAATCATGTCAACCCTTGCAAACGCAGAACCTCATGAAAGCAATGCAATTCAAAGAGAAAGTGTGCAGAGGCACACGCCTATCTGAAGTATTCTGAGAAAGACAGCAAGGAGATTCGGCATGAAGGAGTTTCGTGCACCGTATCCACCACCAGCACTAGCCGCTCTCAGGTTGCATCTCTACCTGGCCGACCCCGACATTCCGCCCTTCTGCAACCACACTCTGTAGGAGAAGTTTCCATCTTAAGCCTCCGCGAATGCTTTTTCACCACCCGCACTGTGTTCACCACTGACAGTGTTTTCACTTGAGGGCCAGGGGCATGGAGAACGAAAGCTCGGTCTTTTTTTACAGAAGGACTCAACGGCTACACACACGCAAACGCAGAGAGACATGGCTGCACTGCACAAAAACTTCACAAACAAGTACTGAAATATCAATTTAGCCAATTTGGCCCCCCCGCCTCCCCCCCTAAATTGATACTATCA